TTAGCAAAGACCTGAGGAAGCCCACTACTTCACAACAAGTACCAATTACAGGGGTTCATGAAGGTGATTTTTGTCTCCTGATTAATGTAAGTTCAACTATAAATATTTTCTTTTCTATTTGGTTTGCTTGTTTTGGAATTACACCTTGTGGTGCTCAGGAGCTTTTCCCAGCACAGTGCTCAGAGATTTGGGGTCACTTGCAACTGTGTTAGGTGACCATGAGGGGCCAGAGATTAAAAACAGGACTCCTGTAGGCAAAGCTTGAGCCACATCCCTGGCCCAGTACTTTCCCTTTGTACCTGGTAAAAGGTAAAGGTAAAGGTAAAGGCCCTCCCGTTGATCGTCGATTTGCTCGAGCGGGCCCAGTAACGTCTCCATTGGAGACTTTGTTGTTACTGTGTCTGGCATATCGAATACTCTCGGTAGCTTGCCGGGCTCTCCGAGAGGGGCGGAGGAATCGAACTCGGGTCGCAAGTTCAATAAATATAATTCAGTTAGGATGATCTACAGATAGGATTGGAGACTATCCAAACTCTTATACTTTCGGATATTCCAAAATAGAGTAGCAGATCTCTATATGATCGTGGTGGGGAGGAGAGAAAAACTTCTCCTATCTCTCTGCATTCCTTTCAGGAGAGTTGCATAATCAACTTAATATTAGACTGATGTATAGGGGGGAAATTAGCAATGAAAATGCAGAAAATATATATTCAATATTGATTTTAAAGTAGAGGGTGGTATGCACTCTGATATAAGCAACTAGAGAGGAGACTGAGGCTTCAAGGAGAGAGAAGGGAAATTCACATGATAAAGAGAAAGTGACTCATGACAAAGACCATCTGCTCTGTAATCAGACATTATCTCTGCCATGTAAATCAATTTTTCTGAGAATGTAATTTTTGGCAAAAACTCTACTTTTGAGTAATACCACTAATTTTCATTTTTCAAGGCAGTTGAAGTAAAAGCTACTCCTAGACTTATAATGCCTTCATTGACCTCAGCTCAAAATAACCTACATGTGACACATCTTGAAAATATCTGTTGCTTTTCTTCTGAACACCTTAGAGAGGCCTATCCTTCAATGACCAATCAGGGGGAAGAATTGCCCTCTTTGTTTTGAATACCAACACTATGTGGCTCTTCCATCTTCACAGATCTCTGATGTTGTGGGAGAGGAAAAAAATGTGAATGTTGGTTCAGTGTTACTCACCAAGTGAGTAACGTATTAATGATTTGCCATTTGTCAAAGCTGAGAAGTTTTCAAATGTAACATTACTTAATAAAGTGATTTTGGGTGTAATGTCTCTCTCTGTGTACATCATCAATTAATCAAAAACTAGGGCAGTCACAATCTCTTAATCCATCACTCTTCTTTGGGTGAAATAGTGTGACAATACTTACTTCCTTTCTTTTTTTACTCTTATTTTTGTTACTTCCCCAAATATTTATTATGTTCCTATTATAAGTGAGGCACTATCATAGAGTCGATCTCATAGTATTTTGACTACCAATTCTGTTGATAGTCAAATATTTCTTTTTTCTAGAGAAAAGCATTCCTATTATGGAGAAACTAAAATTATAGTAAAGCATTAAAAAAGCAGTTAGTATTGTCCATAAATGATTATTTGGGGGTAATACTAATAAATTCTTCTCAATTTTTTTAACTACTTGATTAACTACTTTTAACTACTTTTAGCACTGTCCTGTCCTCCCATTATTCATCAATTTGCTCGAGCGGGCACCAGCAACATCTCCATTGTGAGACTTGTTACTAATTTTTGGCTTATGGAATACATCACGGGGAGCTTGCCAGGCTCTGTGGTGAGAGCAGGGTACTCTCCGTGCTATCACTCCAGCCCTTAACTACTTTAATACAATTTAATTTAATTTTCTTGTTTGCTTAACACTGTATCTTAACTTCAGTATTACTAAACATTTATTATAAACAAAGTTTTAATGCCCAAAGTTGGTGATAAATAACTGGACAGAAAAATCATACTCCTTATTTTATATTTTCATAGGTTAAAATATTTTCTAAAAGTGGAACTGCTTTGGGGGAAAGGGATATGTATATTTAGCAGCTTGGGGTAACATTGCTACAGATTCCTTTTCCTTTAATGTATCAAAATTACACCACCAGATGAGCAGGTTCCTTTCATTGCCTCATCACAGTATTGAGGAATATGCTTATTTTAAGCAATCCTTGCTAATAATGATGAAACAAAAATCTATCTTAAAAATGCATTTTGGGAATAGTATTGAATCAAATGTTTTTTTAATATAAGTGCATTTATAAAACATTTTAAAATTCAGTAAGAAAACAAGTTGTATAAATAGACTTGTGCCCACTATTCATTATTTCAATTGAATCTGAATTCACCTGGACTTTTGGATCACTCCAAAGTTCACTGTAATCACTTTTGGTTAACTTGATCAGAAGGGGATTGACTGTCTCGGGAAGCTATCAGGTAGTAAACCAAAGGTAGCATGAAGTAGCCTCCTCCATGGGAGACTGATAGTTAAAATCAGAACAGGTCACACCACCCAAACAACCCACTTAGGATTTAGGACATCCCAACAATGACCTTGGAGACTCCTCCTATCTTTTAGTTCTGGCACTCCTGTCTATGGGCACAAAAGCCATTTCACAGATAATGGGGTTATTTCTAAGATATTCCTTCATCTTTGAACCACAGACTTTAAGTTTAAACACCTGGGAAGGCACTTCTGATTGACTGAATTTAGGTCAAGGTGATGACCTACTTCTTAGGGCACTGAGATAGCAAGCATTTGGCTTTTACGAAATCAACTTCTCTGTTTAATAACTCCTTTTAGGAACCTGGTTAAACTTAAATCTCACTGCATATTAGATAATGTAGTAGGTAATGGCAATAACCCAGAACTGCCAAATCAATGCCATATTCTCAAATGTCAGTAGGACTAGGTATATCCGCACTGTGGGAACTGTGGAAAGCTGAAGAGCAGCAGCTGAAGGAGAACATTTAGTGCTTGGTTCTGTCAAAAGGCTTCTAGAACCCACCACAAGGCAATGAAGACCAGATCTTCCAATGTTTTCGAAGATAGCTTAAATGTCTGAATTTTTGTGAAGTTTTTTCTTCTTCTTCTTCTTAGGGGTTACTCCTGGCTCATGCACTCAGGAATTACTCCTGGCAGTGCTCGGAGGACCATATGGCATGCTAGGAATCAAACCCGGGCTGGCCGCGTGTAAGGCAAATGCCCTATCCGCTGAACTATTGCTCCAGGCCTGAAGTTTCCTGATTTTTAAAGTGGGACTGAAATTTCCAATTTGAAAAACAACACCACTGAAAGATCAAGGCTACAAGGCTGCATATAGGAGGCTCAGCTGGATAGCTCAGCATTGCATGGCCCACTGAGGAACAATGAGAGCTACCCAAAACCAACCAACCAATCAACCACCCACCCACCCACCCACCCAACTAACCAACCAACCAATCTGCCAACCTCCTAACCAACAAGGTAGAGCCAATAAAATGGCTCCAAGGGTTGGAGTACATGCTATACTCTTCCCTAAGAAGCAATGCATGCTCCCTGATACAGCACCACCAGGCTCAGGGAGTGATTCCAGTGCACTGCTGGGCATGGTCCCCTCCAAAAATAAAAATAAATTAAAAACAGATCAAAATTAAAGATAAATGAAAATTAGAGCAGCAGATCAGGGATGTAATTCAAATGGTAGAACACACACACAGAGTATATAAGGTCCTGAGTTCAATCCTCTTAAGAGCACTGCATGACATCCCCTTCTCTGATCACCCCTAACGCCACTGGTATACATATAACTTGGTGACATCACTGAGCATTTCCAGGGGTAGCCCTGGTGAGTGCCCTGTGCTCCAAGCATTGCATAGCCAGAATCCATACCCAGCATCTCAAATCAAATACAAGGAAGCTCCCGAAATAAATGAAAACAAAACCACAGCAAAATTAAAACTGAAAACCAGGACAGGAAATGACACCCCTGAAGGCTAAATTCCTGAAATCACACAGAGTGTGGCTGAGCCAGGCCTGCAGGTTTTGTCTCCCTACAGGAAAGGCCAGTGTACCACAAGGTCTCTGCCACCCTTTCTCTTAGCTCACCCCCCAGCCAAGCTCAGGAAAAATGCCCAGTTTAACGACCAGGCGCAGTTTGTAAACTGTGCTGGATCAACGGACAGTAACCTTTTGGAGTCAGAGCAGAATTGAAAGCTACTACTTTCTAGGTGATGCGAATTAGATCCTTGTAATTTGATGGGACTAGGGTGGGGGATAACAGTTTGTTTGTAAAAGACTGCAGACACAAATAAATTAGATTTTCTTTATAGTCTGGCACAGAGCCAGGATCATACTAAAACACTGTCCATAACAGGTCTAACAGTACACAGATAACATCATAAAAGTGTCCATTCCCGACTATGCTGAGTAGAAAGAGAACAGAGTGGTGGGAGTCGGTGCATGCAGAGAAACCTCCAAGTGCAGTTCCTGATATCAGTTGTAAGTTGGATTTTTCACTAACAACCTATTCTCCTGACTTCACAGGGAGTTTCTCCACCAGTCCAGCTGCTTTGTGGCATGTGGGCAATGCGGCTTTACCAGGCTCCCTCTCCGTTCTATCTCGGTGAAAGATGACAGTGGAGCAAAGGGACGCTCAGGGGTTGGGGTGAGAAAATCTCTCTCCTTTCCTCTGGGCTGTCTGCCGGGCCTGCTTCCTTCCACCTGCGGTCTTTTCTGCAGAATGCGGGGAAACCACCGCCGAGGAGGAGGGGGCGGAGGCAGAGGCGGAGGCGGCACCAAAGGCCGGGGCAGGGGAGGCAGGGACCATCGCAGCGACAATTTCTTTTCCTGCGGCGCTGGCTGCAGGGAAGGCTGCCGCAGGCGGGGGCATCTGTCCGTCTGCCCGAGCGTCTGCGAGGACGCGATTAGCTCTATCCGCGACCGAGAAAGAGGAGGAGGAGGAAGAGCAGCAGGAGGAGCGCAACGCTGGCTGCAGGAGCGAGTAGAACTAGCAAAGCGCCGTCAGTCCGCAGAGGAGAGAGGGAGGAGGCGCGGCCCAGGCCAGCCCGCGGGCGCCGAGCAGTGTGGGCCATCGCGGCGGGCAGCAGTGCCTCCTAAGCAAAGAACGCCCCCCGCGGCCCGGGCTGCGGCGGCCAGACGGATGCCAAGGCCACACGGCAGCGCGCGGACAGCCACTGCAGTCGCCGTCCCACGCGGGCTGCGGACCTCAGGGCTTGCTGGTGAGTGGAGCGCGCACACGAGTGTGCGGGCGGCGCGCACCCGCAACGGTGCCCGCACGCGGGTGCGAGTGGCCGCGCGCGCGCGCCGGGCGCCTCTTCTGCTGCCTGGGACGGTCCCAGGCTCGCGGCGCACGGTGGAAAGAAGCGCGGCTGGGGCATCTGTCCGTCTGCCCGGGCGTCTGCTCACTTCCTTCCTGCGGATCCTGCGACCCGCCGCCTCCGCCGGCGCTTCCTCCTGCGCACCGCCACCCCGCACCCCTGGTCCCCCAGGGCTCGGTTTCACCTTGACGTGGAAGGCAGGAAGCCGAGGCACCCGGTGGCGGGGCGGGACTCTGGCTCTGACTTACACGCATGTGCTCCTGGCTCAGAGTTAGGATGCAGACTTGGAGATGGCCGGCATCTGTCCTTGGGGGAGCGGGTGTGGCTAAGGAGGGGACAGAGATTGGGGGCGGGGAGGGCAGGGAATAGACCTTTGGTCCCGATGGAGCCTGCGGCGCGTCCTTCTGGATGATGTTTGCTTTTATGCACTTTATGAGCCACTCTTAGAACATTTTCCTTCCCTTGAATAATTTAAGCCTTCGCTGAAAGCTTTTAATGAAATAAACCCCCCAAAGTGGAATGTCATGAAAACTTAATCTTTCTCCTAGCTCTGTACAGCAACCCCAATGCTGAGAGTCAAGAGCCTAACTACTGGTGCATAATTACCGGCCCTAACACACACACACACACACACACACACACACACACACACACACACACACACACACCATTCAGACTGATCTGGAGAATTGTGGGGAGAGTGGAAAATCTTAAATCTTTAATGTTTGGGTCGCTTAGTACCAGTGACTTTCTGGCAACCAGCGTTTGGTAGTAACACAGACATCTTCTCAAGCGAGCTCCCTTGAGCGCAGTGATTCCCAGACATCCCTCCAATCACAGAGAATAAAATGAAGTCTTAGTTTCTAAAGCGTTTCTGAAATTATGATGAGTATCACTAACGTGCGAATTTATGATCTCACCATACAAAGCTAGAGCTTTTTACCATCAATAGAGCGGATTCGTTTCCCACATAAGCCACCTGAATATTCGATTTCCTGTTTCATGTGGGGAGGGGGCCAGTTATCTATGATTGTTTTGAAAAGATGAAGTCGCAGGCATTCCCCCTTTGTCTCCCCCCCCACCTTGTTTCATTTTTTGTTTTGTGATGGATGCTAAATCGAACTTCTAAAAATTTACCCTGCAAAAATAACATACTGTCCAATAGACTTTATTGTAGATGCTTTGTAGCTCTCCATTGTAAAGACCTATGATTATTTTTAACACAATATCTTTGAGAACCAGCGCTTTTGGTTTTCATTTTCTCCATTATAGCTCCTTCATTCAAAGGCATGAAATGGTATAGAAATCGAACTGGAAAATGAACTGGCTGCTGATTTTTTTGATTGGCAAAAATACATCCAATAGTTTGTCATTTAGACATCTTCATCTGAATGGACTTAAGCTGTAATGTATCTGCTGGTTTAAGAAATTGTTTTTCTCATACTCTTCTGTAAAGAGCATAAGCTTCATTGTACACACACACACACACACACACGCACATAAATAATCAGGCAGAGACTACTATCCTTTAATCTATATGGAAGTCTGCAGGGCAAGTTTCATACCCGCTGTTCTCTGTTAGGACCGTTATGGCCATGCCACGAAACCTAGGTTTTAGACATGTCTTCTGCAGAGAGACTTCTTTGGGACCAGGTCCTGAGAAGGACTGACAAAAATAAAGGATTGTAAAACTAAAACCTCTTTTTATTTTCAGCACAGTGTAGTTAACTAAACACAGCTTGATCTTTTTCTTCTTTCAGGGACTTTTCCCAAACTGACATAGCTATAGTCTAGGGACTGGAGTTGTATTTTACAAAGAAAGGCGTAGCAATTCTTGCTTAGATTATGAGAAGCAGAAGAAATGCTAGAGGAAATGTGTTGATATTGTTTGGAGAAGACTAAATGGCATCTTAGAGGAAGCAGTATCAATTAGAAACATTTTAAAATCCACAGGATTTGTGATTCTCTAATGCTAGCATATTTCTTGACCCTGTTAAAAATTTATGTTCAGTTGAAACTATGATAAATGACTCATTAGTAGAGTCAGCTTTCTGTCCCCTGGGTCTGGTGAATCATAGCTTCTCAATACATATTCATTAAATGAATAACATTGTCTTTATCTTCCCAAACTAACTGCAGCACCTCTTCTTGAATTGATTGTTTTTAGCCATAATTTTAAATGAATCACCAAACATTTCATCAAACTGAAGCCCAGTTGATATATTCAGCTAAGATCATCTTCAACTGAGCCAACAGTCATCCCTTCAGAACAAAACAAAAACATAAAACACCGCATTTGTTTGGACCTGTTGAAGGGCTGGTTGCAGCTCTCTGATCATGTGCTTTGTCCTGTTGGACATGTGAGTATGCATTCCAAAATCCCGAGCTAACATCAGAATGTTCATTCAACTCAGGAATAGTCTGGACCACGGCTACATCTGGATGAGGCTTTTGTCAGAAATTATTTACATTTGTAAGCCAATCACATGAACTGCTGGCACAATCCTGCATTTCCTCATTCTTTTTTTTTCTTGAAATGATTTATTCTAAAATATGTAGTTTTTTAAAAAATTTTTATTAGTGAAACACCATGAGGTACAATTGTAGACTTAAAAATTTTTGTGCTTGGGTTTCAGTTATACAATGATCGAATACCCATCCCTCCTCATTCTAAATGGAAAAGCCAATTAAATGTTTGGCAAGTTGCTAAGTCTTCAAAAGCACATGTCATTTGGTTTTCTTTATACATTTTAGATTAGCATTGTAGCACTGTCCTCCCGTTCATTGTTCATTGATTTGCTCGAGCGGGCCCAGTAACATCTCCATCATAACACTTGTTACTGTGTTTGACATATGGAATACGTCATGGGTAGCTTGCCAGGCTCTGCTGTGCAGGCGAGATACTCTCGGTAGCTTGCTGGGCTCTCCGAGAGGGGCGGAGGAATTGAACCTGGGTGGGCCAGGTCATCTGCGTGCAAGGCAAACGCCCTACCACTGTGCTATCGCCGACATTTTAGGTTAAATCTATGTTAGGTTTTTACATTGAAGGGGTGTCCCAGAGACTGATGGTTCATTCAGACTGATAGTCATTTATAAATTGATCTTTTATAAAAAGCAGCTCCTTGATACTAAGGACTAGTGATTTCTATTCATAGGTTTTCATTTGTTCTAGCTAACCTTTCAAGGTACTCTTAGAACGGATATATCTTGTAGTCTTGAATATAGAAGTGTTTTCACTTTGTTTTTAAGTTCTAACTTTTCATTTCTAATCACGAGAGGTTTACTTTGTTACAATTTAATTTCAGGTTGAAAGAGTGGAAACTCTTTTGAAATTTACCTGACTATTAATATATTACATTTCTGTACTGCAAATGTTCCCTTTGATAGTCTTCTATAACCTTCTCCAATCAAGCTATTTGATGAAGCATAGAATGAGATCTTGGGACATTTTAAGTTTTCCTCTTGCACTATGTCCAAAATAAATAGCTAAAATTAAAAATTGTTTATTCCTCTTCTAAGTAACACAAAACCTGTGGCTATTCTATGAAACGTGGTCATTCTTATCAAGTGTTTGTCTAATAAATACTCATTGGTATACTGAAATGAGAGTTAACAGCATGCCCCTTTCAAGTCTTATGAAGGCCTGGAAAGCCAAAGGTAGGAATTTTGATTGGATATAGGTGTCAGTTTAAGGTAGGTTTCTTCAAAAAAGGCTAAGTAAAGAAAGCATCTTTTTATAAAGCTCTGTAGCAATTGAGTGGGGTGTGGAATAGTAGAAAGAGGGAGTGAAGATGGCAGTCTAGTGTCAGATAAAGATACTTTGATAGATTTCAGTGACACAGTGATGAAGAAGGAAACACTGCAGGCAACCAGACATCAGGATTTTTGTTTTATGTGGAGGAGGGATCATACATTTGTGACACAAGTGTTAAGATATAACTGCAGAGGTTCTGAAGATTCTGTTCCATGGCTGCTTGAGGGACTAATCAATCAAGTGACATGGTGATAGGTAGAGAAAGAGTTTCATTAGCCACAAACTGGCATTCAGAAGCTAGCAGTGATGTCTGTCCTCAAAGTAGCCATCTTGTTTGCACAGTAATAAGGAGTAGTAAGGAGTGCTTTTTTATTTTAAAGATAGGAACAAACAAGGAGGCCTATATTCAGAAACGGTGGTTTGCAGGTGGGTGAGGGCCAGAAAAAAATCAATACCTTCCCTTTGAAGTCCCGAGACACACTCCATTGTAGTATCTGCAAATCTAAATAAAGATTTCTAATTAAGAGTTCAACTTGTCTTGGGGCAAAGAAATAGCTTAGTGGGTAAGACAAGGTGCTTGCCTTGCACTCATCTGACCTGGGTTTAATCCTGGTACCACAAGGAGTGATCTGTGAGCACAGAGCCAGGAGTAGATCCTGTTGTATGGCCTCCAAATAAGAACAAAACAAACAAAAATTCAACCTGTCTTAATCTTAGGTTTTGGAGGAAGACAAGATATGGCAAACATTATCAACATTTTGAGACATCCTGGCACTGAAGCTGTTTTTTAATTTGGGGAATGGAGTAGGGCCATACCCATCGTGCTCAGGGCTTACTCTTGGCTTATGCTCAGGGGTCATTTCTAGTGCCATTTGGTACCATAAGCAGTGCCAGGATCAAACTGGGCTTGGCCACATGTAAAACTAAAGCCTTAATCCCTGTATTGCCTCTCTAGCCCACCAGTTTTTAATTTGGAATTCAGCTCTTAATTTTTTTGGGGGAGGGTAGACAATTTCAGTCACTCATTCCACATCCATGGAAGACAGTCCAGTTGGTCAATCCCAGCATTCTTTCTTGCTGCGACCTAGTGTAACCTAAGAATTTTATAAATAGTTGATAATTATTAAAATTAGTTGTTAAACATGTA